CCTTCCTTTTGAGGAGTGGCTGGTGGGTTTGAACCCCCAGCCTTCTGGTTAGCAGTCAAATGCCTTAGCCACTACGCTACCAGAGTTCCCTTGTATGACCTCACTTTTATAAAAAGACAACACAGACAAATGTATACAAACCACTAATAAGTGGTTAGCAGGGGTAGGAGGGAGAGGGGCTTGGGGTTACTGCTTATGGAACACTGAGTTTCTGTTTATAGTGATGAAAAATTCACACTGATTAAGGTTAATAATTACACTGCTGATTAATGTAATTGATGGCAATAAGTTGTACACCTGTAAAAAGTTGAATAGGCAAATGTATGATATATTTACAACAACAGCAACAGAGCAGCTGCTGAGGCTGTTATATTCAATCAAACACCTCATGGGATTTGGTTTCTTGGTTTGGAGGTTTAGGGTCATGGTTTCATGGCACATACCAGTTAACTGGCCTAATACTGTGTTTAGTGTTTCTGTTCTATCTCCTAGTTCATTGCATAGTGCCTATACACTTAAAAGCTTGCAAGCAAGCCATCCAAACAATTGGTCTCTAGCTGCCTGGATCAATAGAGGAAGAGAGTTAGGAATAGAAGAGAATGAAATGCACACCTAATTGTCTCCACGAGACCAGAACTAGATAGTGCCTGGCTACCGTAACAGAACGTTTTGACCAAAGATCTTACAGAAGAATCTTGATCAAAAGGGGGAAAGTGGAACAGAATTTCAAATACTCATAGAATTCAGACTTTCTGGAGCCACTGAGGGTGAATGTTGTTGTTGTTAGGTGCTGTCAAGTCAGTTCCTACTCATAGCGACCCTGTGCACAACAGAGCAAAACACTGCCCAGCCCTGCCCATCCTCACGATCTTTGCTATGCTTGAGCCTACTGTAGCCACTGTATCAATCCAACCCATTGAGGGTCTTCCCTTTCTTCGCTCTCTACTTTACCAAGGATTATATTCTTCTCCAGGGACTGGGCCCTTCTGACAAAATGACCAAAGTACAAGAGACAAAGTCTGGCCATTCTTGCTTCTAAGGAACATTCCTGAGGCTGAATGAACCCCTGAAACTACTGCCCTGAGATAATTTTTAAAGCTTAAGCCAAAAATATTCACAGAAGTCTTCTTTAAACCAAATAGTTTAATATAATTAGTAGTGTCTGCCTTAAGTAGTGTGTTTTTAAAAGAACTATCTATAGGGATCAAATTGATAACAACAACTTGAAAGGTAAGATAGGAAGCTTATGGGGCAGTAAGATGATGTTAATGGGAAAGGAATAATTTGGAAAAAGAGGATGAAAATGGTTGTTCAATTTGAAAAATGTAATCAATGCCACTGAAATGTACATGTGGAAATTGTTAAATTGGTATATGTTCTTTTGTGTATATTTTCAACAACAACAAAAAGATAAACTATTTTTTTAAAAAAACCTACGCCTGATATAGTACTAAAAGATGAGGCCCCTAGGTTGGAAGACACTCAAAAAACACAACAAAACTGGCTGCATAATATTGCAGTGTACAGATCTACCATAATGTATTTAATTTTTTCCCACCTATTGGACACACACACTGTTGGAAAGAAAGGATTTAATAATCAGACTGGCAGGGCCTGACTTTCAGGGTCAACCAGCAGGCCAAGTTACTGTGTCTGAAAAACAGGCCCCTCATTGCCTTTACCCATGCTCATGGACCTTCCACCAACTTCCTCTTTCACTCCTAACCCTCAAGTTGAAAATATATTTGGCAAGGATTCTCCTTTATGGAAAAACTCTCTACTTTCCCTGTGTTCTGTCTTCATCCATTCAGCTGGTTGAGAAAGTCGCCCTCTTTTAGATTTCAAAGAAGTAAGCAGGAAGCCCAGATAAGCTTCCAAATCTAAATCTCTTGTGTGCACTAGCCCTGCTTGTGGGTGCAGATGTATGTGTGTGAGTCTGTGTGTATGTGTGGTGGGCTTGCAGCACTCTCCCAGAGGGTCTGTGCTTCCAGCAGTGCTGCTGTTTGTTTTCTGTAGCTCACTCTAAAGGCAACACGGAAGGCAAGGAGGGTGAATGGTAAGATTCAAAGACCCACACGGTAGGCAGAACCTCTAATCTTTCTCTTCTTAATGATTTAGTTACATGGAAAATAATAGAATAAGTCACATTTTCATACATTATTAGGAAGGGGACTATTTTGAGTCTAGTTAGCCTGCTAACTTGAAATCAAATCCTAAGCAAGTTTTCAACATATACTGGGACAATCCTTTGCATTCAGGGCATAACTGCCGTGGTTTGGAAAGGCAGTCTGGTCCCACCTCACACTGATACTGAACAACCCAGAGTTCCCCAGGAAGCAGTTCTGCAGTGCTGTGAGCTCTCCAGAGTGTTCTGAGGAAGGGGAATTTAGATTAGGAGCAGACTGCCCGGGGCTGTCATTGACTTCAAATCATCCACCCTCAGCCCTAAGGGGGAGCTCTGGTGGCATAGTATCCAAGGCATTTGACTGCTAACGAGAAGGCTGGAGGTTCAAACTCAGCAGCCACTCCTTGAAAGGAAGATTGGGTAATCTACTTCGTAGAGATACCACCTCTGAAACCCAAGGAGGGGTCGCTATGAATCAAATTGACTCAATGGCAGTGACGAACTGCCTCAGAGTTGGGAAATGGTATAGGCAAAATAACAGAGGAAAATGAGACTAGATAAAACTGAAAAATATCAAAGGAATATAATGCTAGATATAAATTAAAATAACAGGAGGATTGGTGATACCCAGGAAAGAATTCATAAGTACTTCCTGAAACCTAGTTTGCTACTGCTCCAGGGCCAGCCATGACTACCATATATAAACTTCAGGAATAATTTATACTATCACCAAGTCCTTTTTTACTACACATTTGCCTCCTCACCATCTTCTGTACTGTAAAACAAAATAGTCATGGGTCCCTAAATTGGCTCCAGCAGAATGCTGTCAGCCTTGAGTCTCCCCATTCTTCATTCACAAGTATATCTTGAACAAGAGCTGACCATAAACTAGACATAATGCAAAGTGCTAGAAATCCAAAGATGGAAGGATACAGTCCCTTCTCTCAAGATCACTTCAGGTGACTGTAATATTATGTGTTACCTGCCTCCAAGGAAATGTAGATTGCAGCAGGGATTAAAGGCTTAATCTGAAGGACAAATGTTCAGTAATGTAGGCAATACAATTACTCTTCAGAGTCAACTCTGCAATGAAACCCTGAAGGGAAGCACCTCAATTAGTGAAGAATTTCACATATTTGAGATTCCTGTCCCTTTTCTACCTTTTTGTAACTTAGACCTACCTAGTAGCCTATCTTAAGTTTTCCCACAGTGTAATGAGACCAGTGATCTTTCATTGTCAAGGGCCACAAGGGAATCTACACAGACCAATGGGTGGGAATATTCATCTCTCAGAAATTTTCAGCATTAAATCCCTTTATATATATATATATATATATAACCACAATTAAAAAAAAAAAAATCCTGACAAATTTCCCTTTAAAAACTTAAAATAATTTTGCAAAAATAAATCTATTCCCTATTTTAATATATAATGATAAACATTATTTTAAAACAACAAATCTAGTAGATATGACATCAGAGTTTGTATAATTTTAGAAGCTTTTAACCTATTTTATTTTGAGAACCGGTTAAGTGTCTTTAAAGACAATATACGTAAGCTAGTCTAGTTACTAGGGTCTGAGGTTCTGACGGTAGAAGAATGTTTTTAGGTTTGATTTTTTTTACAAACAAACAAACAAAAACAACCATGATGTAATTCTAGGGTTTTTTTTTTCCCTTTAGACATCACTTGGTTACCATAGTAACATGATGTTTTACTACCAGATATCTATACAGCATATGGGAGGAGCAGGCAATTACTTAATGGGTTATTTGGAGGTATAGAATGTGACTATTGGCATAATTCAAGATTATGTATTTCACTGAGTTTCTGCTTAAGCAGGGCACACTGAATCAATCTTCTAGTAGGGTCAGTTGAACAAAATTTGTGAGGCTATCAAACTGATTGTTGACATCATTTGAAATAGCAGGAGTAGGGAGGCATAATGTACAGTGGTTAAGAGCGTGGACTCCGGAGTCAAGCTTCTTGGGTCCAAACCTTGCTCTATTATTTGCTGTGCGACCTTGAGAAAGTTCCCTAACTTCCATGTGCTACAGTTTTTTCATATTAAAATGGGTAATAATAATACTTCCCTCGTAGGGTTGTTGTGAAGATTAAGCGAATGATTATTTGTGCTTAAAACAGTGCCTTGCAAATAGCAAGAACTCTGTAAGAATTTTTTTACGACAAAATAAAATTTGAATTTGCAAACTCCCCTTTTTGTACTGGGTAGAAATGATCAAAGATACCAAGATTTCAGTGCAGGACAGATTATTTTAGCCTGTAGATTCCTTTGAGAATTTCCCAGGGAAATTGTTGGCAGCAATTCTATAACATTTTAAATTCTGCAGCTATCTCTACTATCTAAACCAGAGCTGGGAGCAATCCCAAGCACTCTTGATACCAGAAACATCAGAAGGATGATCACATAGCACAAAAGAACAGCATGCCTGCCCACTCGAGCTCCCTGAGCCACTGACAATAACCTCTGGGAACATAGGCATAGAATAGGCAACTGAAAAGCAATGAAATGAGATTTTATTTCAGTGCAAATGAAATCTAGTTGGTTTCAGTAATATTATTTTTTCTCTTTACAGTATTCAAAGGGAAAAAAAATCATTTTCATCAATGAGTGCTTTGTTTTATTCATTATCGCTATATACAATGCCCATCCAATTTTTCTTCAACAGGCACTTCTTGGTAAATTATTCATTTTACAGAACTGCCTAGGCATCTTTTCTAGATCTGTAATGAATCTGAAAACCTTGAAGTGCAATAAATCCGTGCAAAATCTTCAAACTGCCTGTGGAAAAAAGGTATTATGTCCACTGACACAAAATTCAGCTGCGATCCCACAGGATCTTTATCACATACCTTCATCTGGACTTGATTTCGGAGATGGTTTCCTTGGATCTTCTCGGTCAGCAATAACCCTGGATAGGAGTTTAGAGAATGCCATAAACCACAAGGAAAGCTTGGGAACACACTCATCTCTGTCCTCTGCCTTCCCTTTGGCTCATAGCCTGCTTCTTGGTAAGAAGACAAAATGACGTTGTGCAGGGTTGACTGTTAAACCATCTTCCCGCCCCCAGCCCCACTCTCTTGGTGCCCCTCCCTTCTCCTTTCCAAGGCTCTGGAATGTGTCACATGGGGAATGGATCATGTGGCTCAAAGGGAAAATGTGGCCATCTTCTCTCTCCCTACCCCCACTTTTCCTTTCTGGAGCAAAGCAGCAGAAATCTCTGACCTGATTGGCTCTGCCCAAAAATCTCCATATGAAAAGGGAGAGATTCAACCACCCAATCTCCAGACTTCTCCACTTTCTTTTTTATTTTTCCACCTGAAGGTTTTCTGCTGGGCATTCAAGTTGTTCAATGTGGGAAGGAAATGAGGCTTTCTTCCCCAGCACCTCTCATCAGTACCCTGAAATGCAAAAGTTCCTTAACCACCATCCAGAGCCCCCTTAGCAACATCTGGGACCATTGAGCTTTCAGCACCACGGACAGCATTACACCCCCTTCAGTGTTTCTTAAAGTCATTTGTCTATTTTAAAGTCTTTTGAATATTTTTAAAATATCCCCTGAGGTCTTGTGTCAAAATACATATCACACCATATATCTAGAGCTCTGACTTTCCCTACTATCAACTTACTGCTACTTTGCAAACAGAAAAATAGATTTTATATCTCACCAAATAAACCCAAAGACCACCCATTCCTACCTGCCTATTCCTGTCCCACCACCCATCCCCACCCTTTAAATATGCTCTCTATATTTTTCAAGGGAGATTCTCATAGCGTAGTTTACTATATGCCCATATACCTATGTTTATGGGCAAAACCACAGAAATACGTAGAAATTCTTGGGAGTGCATATTTAGATGTCTTTAGCCCCATCCATGAGCCTCAGGCAGAGCTGAATTAGAGAGGCAGAAAGGGAGCCTGGCTGGAGCTGTTTTGTGTGGGGTCTATCCTGTTCTGCTGACGTCCCAGTTGCCATGGTGCTAGGTAACTGCTGAAAGGGAAGATTTCTTTCAAAACCAGTCACCATGGGACCCTGCTGACTAAAGAAAGGAAGAAGGAAAAGGACAGGATTGCTTAGGAGGATTTTCAATGAGCATTTTCAGAGCCAGCTTTACCTAATGGGTCCTTTCATTACTGGATTGCTGCTGACCCTAAATCTTGAAAGGCCTCTAGGAATTAGTATGGATATGGCAATGGTAACTCCCTCCACTCTACTGCTTCTTTCCCTAAGAATCTACTTAGGTGCAACTGAGTGAAAATGCCAGATTCATAGAATGGCCGTGGAGCTCCAGCTCAGAGCTATGACAAGAACGCAAGAAATATATCTCTCCTTACATTGGGACTTTTGACTTTTGGGAAGGCATTCATCCAAGTCCAAACAATCTTAAGTGGGAGATATTTTAGAATCATGCCTGATTGTTGACACTAGAAACAATTTATGAATGTTTTAAAATTTTAAGGAAGAAAAGCTAAGTAGTTTTAAAATGTAAATTAATAAATTATTTTAGATAAATATAAGTGTCATTAAGTCAATCCCTGGTTAATATTCAGAGTACCTCAAATCAGGATTTAAACCAGTGATACATTTGTTTCATAAGGCTGGCATTTAATTGATTGTTTCTAACTAAGTATCCTAACCAAGGCAATTCAGAATATTTATTTTGGGGAGAGAAATGTTGACTTGCAATGTGCAGAAATGTAATTCTATATGAAAAGAAGCAGCATAGATATGGAGCTGGAACATAATCTCAAGAAATTAAAGCTCCTTCCTAGCTCATTATTCATCCATAGCTTAAAATGCATTTTCTACTTTTACTTTAAGAGTCAGGTCAATTCTAGCTTTTCTATATAAGACTTATAGAGAAATTCAACATTGTTAATTCTAACACTTGCCACTTTCAGAAAATTTTAAAAAAATCCTTAGAGGGCAACAGGCTGGTGACTCAGATATCATCTCTACTTTTACTCAATAATAGTAATAATTACAATAGCTAACATTTAACATGTGTCAGGCATTTACATATATGATATCATTAATCCTCCTATCAACCCAATGAGATACCCACTGCCATCAAGTTGACTCATAGTGACCCCTATTGGGTTTCCAAGGCTGTAAATCTTTACAGAAGTAGATTGCCTCATCTTCCTCCTGTGGAACAGCTGGTGAGTTCGAACTACTGACCTTCTGGTTAGCAGCCAAATGTCTTACTCCATACACTACGAGAACTCCTTCCAATGAGATAAGAGATATTATTATTAACATTTGTTTTACAGATGAGGAAATTGAGGCTCAGAGAGGAAAGTAATGTGCCCAAGGCTGCACAGCTACCATGGGAACTAAGATTTGGAACCATTTAATCTGACTTCAGAATAGGCAAACTACTATACTATTCTGCATCATGCATCATGAATAATAGACTAAACCAAAATAACAGGTCAATTTAATGTGACATGGTTCAGTACTATAGCCCTTCAACAGGAGAAACCACAAAAATTGCTTTAAATTATTTGAGATTTTAAAAAAAGGCCAAATTGTTTATTTCTGTTATGATGACTGCATGTGTACATCATGTGTACAAAATAATAAAAGTAATTTTACAAGGAGTCAGAATCCAGAATATTATTAAGGAGGGCTGTGAAACATGTTATGTAACATACCAATTCTGTTTTTAAAATATTAAATTTGAATCATCAACCTTATTCCTTGCATTTAGAATAAGATAAAGAGAGAGTTGCCTCCTATCTAAGCCCATAAAACCTCATACTATTTGGGTAACTATGGTAATATTTTGAAAATTATTAATGTGACATTTTTCTCCTCTGCATGGGGGATCTATTTGGCCTTGGGATGGGGAATGTGGCACTGATTAGAAGTTACAAGAGAAATGGGAGAAGAAAGAAGAAATTACTATGCAGGTTCTGAAATCCAATATAGGAGTGTACACCAAGAGAACAAGTTTGAAATTCAGGATACTGTTTTGAAAGCCCTTCTCTAATTCTTCTATTTCTGACTTTAGCTAGTCATCAGCCTAACCTGGAGGACTTCATTCACCAATGTGCTCTGTACTGTAGAGCAGCTTCTTCAGAGTGGGACATGTAAAAACTTTTCAAGGAGTCCCAGAGCATGCAGACCATTTTATGGGAACTGGTGTGTAGACCTATGCTTTCTAAAACTGATCTTCCAGAGAACTGGTGCAGTCATGCTGGTTTTCAGTTCCTACCCAGTAGTTTTTCCTCTGTTTTACCACAGAGTGGCAAATCTTTCACCCACCTTTACCTTGAAGCCTATAATGGTGAACTACCTATATTGAAAAACCCCTGGGGACCAAACAAAGGAAAAACTAGAAATATTGAGGATAGTATTAAGAAATTGAATGGCTCTCCAATACTATGGAAGAGAGATCCAATAGAGCTACTACCTCAGGACCATAGTACTGGGGTACACCAGACTCAATTGACATGACAAAATACATAAAAGCTCCACATCCTACATTGGTGAGTAGCGACTGGGGTCTTAAAAGCTTTCAAGCAGACATCTAGGATCTAGGATGTACCTAATGGTCTCCCAGCGTCGGAAGTGAAGAAGAACGCACACACACACACAAAAAAAAAAACCGAAGGGCATTTATAAGCAATTAACCCTAGGACACGATGGCCCTCGAGATCAAAAGAACTGGATGGTGCCCGGCTACCAATGCCAACCACTCAGAAAAGGATCAAATCTGGAGATCCTGGATAGAGTGAGAGGGAAAATGTGGAACAAAATTCAAAAACTCAATAATGACCAGAATTACTGGTCAGATGAAGTCTGGTGAGACTCCCATTCAACCCAGGATGCTGCACCCACACACTCAATGGTAATGAATCCCCTAAATAAATAAACCATGGGACACCAAAGGACCAACATTCAAACTGAGGAAATGCAGGACAAACAGGAGTGCATGATTATGAGGGGTACAGGGGGAATGTTGCAGGGTAGGGAGGGGAGGAGGCTGGGTTGGGGTTGGACATGGCAAATGGGGAATGAAACTAAATGTACGTATGACTTTGAATGTAAAACAAGCTCTTAAAATTAAAAACAATAATAATAATAATAATAATAAGTGAATGGCTCTAATAATTGATTTTCAAATAATTTGAAAAGTCAGCTTCTTGAGTGCTTTAAACAAAATTGAAAGCAAACCACTATCAAATTGTGCAGCAATTGATTAAAGTAGTTTTCTAAAGAAAACATTTATTTACAGAAGAATACCAGATAATTAATACAGAATTTTTATAGTTACAAAGTGCCATTTTTATAGTCTGCAATGAAATTGTTAATTCAGCAAAGATCATAATGGGTACTTAAATCATTAGATGAAAAGCTATTGTGGTAGAGGATGTTGCTAGATCACTTACAAATTGCCAAAGGAAAGGTGACCCTTCTCAATGGAGAGGCTAGCGGGGGATCATCACCTTAACCATGCAACCAAATTGAGCATCTACTAATAGTGGGACCTGAACTTAGAAACCTGAATTTATCTCACCTACATTTAGAAAACATCTCAAGAATAGAGTTGAGGCACTGAACACCAATGACTGAAGACCAGATGAGTTGTGGGATGACATCATACATGAAGAAAACAAAAGGTTACTAAAAAGACAGAAAAAAAAAAAGAAGACCAAAATGAATGTCAGAAGAGACTCTGAAATTTGCTGTTGAATAGAGTAGCTAAAGCCAGTGGAAGAAATGATGAAATAATAGAGATGAACAGAAGATTTCAAAAGGCAGCTCAAGAGAATAAAGTAAAGTATTATAATGAAATGTACAAAGACCTGCAGTTAGAAAATCAAAAAAGGAAGAATATGCTCAGCATTTCTCAAACTGAAAGAACTGAAGAAAAAAATTCAAGCCATACTCAGCATTTCTCAAACTGAAAGAACTGAAGAAAAAAAATTCAAGCCTCAAGTTGCAATACTGAAGGACTTTATGGGCAAAATATTGAACAATGCAGGAAGTATCAAAAGAAGATGGAAGGAATACAGAGTCAGTGTACTAAAAAG